TGACTTAGGCAGATTGTGACGTAACGCCCAGCAGTGCAGGAAAGAAAGTCTGGCGATGAATGATACAGTTGACCTAGGAAAATTTTTACTAGACGTTGTTCTACATGCAGAAAGAAAGGATAAGATGCAAATGACAAAGACTGACCAGTCCACTTCAACTATGCAGCTGACAGTGGAAATAAGACTTAAAGTTGTCAAGAGCTTGCGCATCGTATGCTGCGATAGAAGTGAATTATTTTATGGATATCCTAACAACACTTTTTCGGGCTTAAGTCTCTTGATTTTATTGTCACTATATTATTTCTTCCTAAGAAATTAGCAACCAATTTATGATAGTATAGAGGTCAGGAACTCAATACTTCTGGGGCGCATGACCCGCATTATTATCAATCGACATGTCAAATTCGCTGCTAAGTAGAGTGTAGAGCTCGCAAATTGGATGTCGAGACAAACGTCAATCTCAGAATATCTCTTTATAAGCGCCACTCAACAAGTTAGTGCAGGGCTTTTTCTTATGCGGATCAGTGGAACGCGGTGGATCGCGATGAATATTGGTATTTTTTTATTCCGTTCCTCAGCCGTGATCCAAGCGTTCCAGGTGGATCAGGGTGGAACGCTGGATCACTCTCCCGAGGTGGGTCGAGCTCGCGATCCACTGTGATCCTAACCTAATGCAAGGAAGTTGCCGTCCCCAACAAATCAAAACAGTAACAAATCTAACCAAATTCCAAGTTTGGATTAATTCATCACTTGGAACACTTTGGATCGGTCCGAATCGCTCAGGATCCACCCTGTTCCGCGATAAAAAAAACCCCCTTACATGCAGTCAGATGGCACCTCTGCTGAGTGGTGACCAAAGACATAAAGACGGAGCGCTCGTATCTAAAAGCACGGGGAAAAAGTGAAGCTAGGTTCGGCGCTGCGCGCTTGTGTGAGTGTGTAAATGAGCGCGGGAATCCATGGCGGCAAACGGAAATTTGATTTGAACTTGTCCTCTTGATTTTTGCACATTTCTTCTTTGAAACGTATTTTAAATTCCTAAAACGAATATACTAAGAAAGTTCGGTCTGCGTCCTAATATAATACACCTACTTTTGCTCGGTAACAGGCAGTAATCTCAGATAAAGTTACTTTTTCTTCTGCTCACGGTGGTTCTGCGGGTTCAAACAGGCCGTTACAGTTCTAGATCAACGTTACTCCCAAATGAAATTAATCGGTCGACGACGGACTGAAACTAACCTAAAGTTAAAAAAATATGAGTGTGTACCTAAATTTGGGCAAAAATCAACCTAAAATACTTTGTTTCCGCAATTTTATTTATTAGTTCCCGCCCTACATTTGAATTCAAACTTGTCCCGATTTCGCCGCCAATCCTCTAGCCAATAGTAGAGGTGATTGAAAAGAAGCTCTAGAAGCTTCATTTTTTGCTTTTAGTGCTCCGTCTTTATGTCTTTGGTGGTGACATAATAATACTTTGACGTTTGTCTCAACATATGATTTGCGAGCTCTACCATCAGTGAGAGAACAATCACTTTGGAGGCTCTTGCTTTCCTTCTCCCATCCTTCAGTACGGCTATTAAATGTTTGCCTGGATTGCAATCATACTCACAAAATTTATGACAGACAGATCCATAGGATTTAATCGTTGATAAGAATGAGTTTTTATGGGATAGAAACTTAACCAAAAAAACACAGCTATCTAGTCTACGACAGTAACTGTGGGCAGCGAGCGAAATTTCAGACATAGGAGTAAAGGCATACATTGCCAAGGCAATATTTTGAATATAATCGTTACCTAGAAAGGTTTTACCTTCATTTAAATTCAGCACAATTTGGACAATGCCACCAGAAAGTTCTTCCATTCTTGAAGAAAATCAAGCAACATTGATTGCGATATGGTCGTAATTGACACAGATCAAACTTGAAGTTAAAAAAGAGTAAATGAAACACAAACTGATTTAGATAAGATCAAGAAAAAGAAAACTAAAAGACAGGAATTGGGATAAAATTTACGCTTGCTGATAATTTTTGTAACGTTTTTTCAAAATTTCGTAACTCACATGTTTACGTTTCAGAACCGATGGTGCTGAGATCTCACGGCTGTCTTCTAAACCACCAGAACTACGCTATTGGCTAATTTTTGGAGGGAAAAAGCTGGCGGCAAAATTTAAATTGACGGCATGTCCACTCCTTGAGCGCAAACTCAAACACTCGTAAAGAAGACTTCCGTTCTTTGTAATCTAACTTCACCACGATTAGTATTGTTGTTTTCTCGTTTTTCGGATAGATTTCAAGTTACATAAGTTTGTCTAATTTCAGAGTGAGATAGAAAATCTGCAAATTAAATTCTTACATTTCGCAAATTATAGGGTCATGTCTAAACGATTGAACTTTTCGTCGTAGTTTGTCAAACTTCGTCATGTTTTTGCACACGGAAAAAAAGGAGGTGTTTGCATTTCGGGCATCTTGGAATTTGTTTGATGACGTAGGTCGGCACAACGACTTCTATCATCGATTTTCTTGGAAATGGTGTAATTTATGGAAAAAAGTCATTCTATAAAGAGTGCTTGAAATTATATCATGAGTTGATTTAAGCAAAAAAGTGGGACATAAGGTATGGTCCGTTTTTCATATTTCGAATTCCGGATTTCGCTGACCAGGTTGTACCGACCTACGTCACAGGGTGAACAAACCTCAAGATGCAAACACCTCCTTTTTTTCTCTATGATGTTTTTGAGCTAGTTTTTCCTCAAGTTAAATCTGATTCGTCGACCATAAGTTTTGGAAAAGTTCAGCCAATGTTTGACCGTCTGAGCTGGCAGGCCATACCTGAAGTTGAAATTTAGATGGCCCTCTGGCACACTCCAAAAAGTCGGCACGCCAAGTCGTCGGGAGAAATCCATGAGTGCGTGATTAAATAATGGAAGAAGGGACTTAATGAAGAAGTTTTTTACTCAGCCACTTCCAGATGTTTATGAAGATTGACTCTCATTTGGCTTGAGGGGAACCATAATTATCGTGAATGCTCTACAATTTTTCCGAAAAAATGAGAGGAAATTTGGTGCTGATCCGAGTAAATTTAAGTTTCTTAGCTATAAAAACCTCTTTGTTCATAGCTTTCTAAGGACTAAAACTTTACAAAATTAACGTCACGAGATATTACCTCTCACCATTAATTTCAATATAATTTACCCTCAATTTTTTTATCCTACCACGGAGGAAAAAAAAATACTTGCTCTCAAAATGCCTCGAGTGGATTTTAGGACTAAACTATTTATTTTTGGAAATCGAAGTTGTAACTATGGAAATCGAAGTTGTAACTATGACTAGAAAATTAGGTAGGACCTTGAATCCACTATGAGTATTGTAAGAGCAACAGTTCCCCCCCCCTCCTCCGTGCTACTCCGAGACCACTAATTTTTAATTCCAACCAGTGTTCGTTCGCGCTGAATCAAATATATCCGCTACCGCCGAGATTACTATATGCCGCTCGTTGCAAACAGTGTTGATCAGGTGCGTGGAAATCAAACGCACTGCAGACGTGATGAGTCAGGGACTCATAACGAGTTAAGCCACTTGCATCAGTTGAATGACTGACGGCCGAGGTGTAACGATTTTGATCCGGTCTCACTTACTTCGTCGTGCCGATCAGCGTATTTCCCAAATGTCCTCAGTCCATAAAAATGCAGCTCTGGATTTAGCTCCCCAGACTCGCTTTGCGCAAAAATCACCGCATTTCACCGCTCATTCTCCAAACAATATTGTCGGAGTTCTTGCATGCAACGACGATTTGCGATCAAACTAATCTGTGTTTCAAAATTTCCGCTCCTATTTTGTTTTTTCGCAGGTTAACAAGCTAACTTCATAGCTTGAAATTTATATAGAATATTCTACTAACAGAGAAGAAAAATCAAGAAAGTTTTCAAGAAATTACGTCGACTGGTTTCCCAAAGAAAAAATAAAGTATAAAGGGAAGTTTGCAACGTCGCAAACGGAGATAAGTGGTTTCGCAATTTAATCATCGATACCCTGTGCAAAATTTTGCGAAAAAAAAAAAAATACCGGCGGTGCCACCAATTTTTTCTTAAACAACTTTCACGCTGCGAAAAAGCTCTTAATGTAAGCTCGAGATCGCAATGGAGTGGATCTCCGGCTTTATCAGAGAGTTCAGCTTTACTAATGTATTCAGTCCATGCACAGATGGAGAGTGAGTGAATACATTAGCTGGATTGCCGTGGCCATAAGCTAAAAAGTAAATTTTACTTCTGACGCTTGGTGTCCCTCCGAAAAGAGACAACTCTGCTGATCTATTCACTCCATGTCTGTGTATGGAGAGTTTGACTGGATACAGAGGTGAACTCTTTCATATCGACCATTAAGGGTTCAACTTTAAGAGCTTCATTTTGAGATTGTTCGAAGAAATCAGTGCGGCATTATCGTGTTTCTCCCAAAATTTTACATCGGAACAAGTACTTAAGTCACTAATTCTCGTTGTGTGGAGGAGCTTCATTCTCGGACAATTTTTTTGACAAAAGGCAATCACAAACCAACGTATATGTTCGGAAGATTTTGCAAATTAGATATCATTATTTATGCGGAGCGCCACAGCTCTTCATTTTATTCATCAGAGGACCATTGCGAGACGTGGCACATGTCCATTCTGGTGTGTCTTTAAGAGTGTGCATGGCCTCCGTTCTTTTACTCCATTAAAAATTCAGCTAACTTTACTAATATACGTGTAAAATATTCAGGAAAATTCCCTCATAAAATTATAAAATTTTAAAATGCAAATTTCTGTAGAATAGTTCACCTAATCGACAAAGAAACTCACCCAAAGCTGCATAATTTTACTAACATCAAATGTATATAGTGATAAAAATAAAAAAAAAAATCGCCTCGAGGCACTGATTCTGGGCCCTCTAAACGAGAGAGAGGGGGACAAAAAAAGCTGATGGATGGAAAGGGGAGAGAGAGAGAGAGAGAAATCAATAAAAAACGCATGAGTGACTGATTGGCTTACAGTTTAATATGACTATTCAATGCTGAAACATCGCTTGGGGTAACATTTCGGGGGAAGAACTGATTGTTACCATAAATATATGTATGCGTATCTTATTTTTTAGAGACCACCGAAAGTTTTTGTGAAGGGACAACTGACCGCCCAAGAGGTAGGCACAAAGGTCTGTTGAAGATGATAATGAGTCGATGAATATTTGGATAACTCTATTTCAGGGGCTTGGAGGACAAGGCGCATAAGTGCGATACTTGATAAGTAAAATAAGCTGCATTCGGCTTTTTCCTCCTCTTTTTTTTTAAAGCAACTTGACAAAAATCGCCTCTCCGAATATGACTTCACCTCTGTGCAAGGCGGTAATTTTCTATGTGAATGCACCCATTTTTCGTCCAAAATGATCAGTCTACTGGCCTGTGTACCCACCTTCAGGGTTGAGCAAATCATCCACATCCAGAACATGGGTACCATTTAGACTCATGACCCGGTAGATAATTCTCCACGGCCTCTGAGTGTTGGGGTCATCATCCGCGTACTGCAGGTTGATATTCCAGACGACCGATCCATAATTTCGAATGTAATGCGCGATCGCTCTCCCAATTTGTCCCCAGACCCCACGATTGAAATGCCGCATCTGCGGAAAGATATTCCACAACTGATCCCCAGGCCCTCCGAAATTCCTGTCCAGAATATGACCAGCGTCATCCCTGGGGTTGCCTTGGTAACCATGTTGTGCCGTAAATTGACGCGCTGCATTCGAGGCAGCAGTACCCGTTCCTAAATGCCTCTCCTCTATGAGCGCCTCCAAGGCTTGGGTGCGACCTCCAGGGCCGAATTGGATCCATCGTATTGGACTATTCCGATCTGGGACATTCTGTTGGATTAAACTTTCGTTGGCGCCGATGAAAAGCTCATCGCGAGCGAACCGCGCTGGTCCTTCGATCGGCCTATTCGCCGTTCCCAAAATTATATTATTACAGTTTAAATCGATAGCTCGTTTACTTATCCCAGCGTACCGTTGTTTCTTGCACATTTGGATAACTTTGTCGTTCTTGAAGCACGGGCTTACAGAGAGCGCTTTGGGCATGTCGTCGGTGTTGACAAAGTTCTCGTCGCCGACGTTGTAGAGTTTCGTCTTTCCTTTGCACCCCAGGGCGCGCCACAGTCGGACACAGGCACCTCGGGTCATCATGGATCTGGCTTCGTGGATGTGATTGGTGTTGTTGTCCCTGGGGAGCTCGGCGCAGTCTTCGCCGGGTGGGATGAAGGTGACGCGGCAGTCCCCTCCGCGGTTCGGCCCCGTGCAGAACACCACCGGTGTCCCTTCGCCTTTTGGGCAGCAGAAGCTCACGCCGTCGTCATCGCATTCGCCGTGGTGTCGATCCATGTACACCAGGTCGTAGCCCTCGCATGCCCTTTTCCGGCCGCAGTATACTCCGAACCAACCGCATTTTTGGCTCTGGCAACTCGCGGTCCAGGTGGAGAGGATCAGGAGAGTCAGCAGTGAGGTTTGCATCGTGGTGCTGTCCGGGAACTCATTAGTTTTCTGGAAAATAGATAGTAAATAAATAAATTAATAAATAAATCGACCCTGAAAAAAAATGTGCATGGCTCGAGCATGGTGAGTCTTAATTTTACAGCCAGTAAACATTTTTTTATCTTGATTTAAGCTAACTTTTTCTTGATAAAAGCAAATTAATGCTTCGGTTAAGCAAAAAAGTCGTTTATATTAAGCAGCTAAATTCTTTATTTAAGAAAAAATAATTATGGACGGCAATTTTGAGATTTCTTTTTCAGTGAAAGCAGTGAACTCAAACGATGTGTTGATAATGCGCGTTGTTGACTTGTTTGCAAAATAAAATAACCGCAAAGAAGTGCGAAAATCAACCAACCTGAAAGATTGAAGCATTAGTGACTTTTTGACAAGCTTGCACAAATTCGGAGTCAGCCTGCTTATTAATTTCCCATAAGCACCAAGGGGACTCAATATATTGCATCAGACGGGGGTTAAAACGATCGCAAAGGAGGTATATCATATTCACGCGCCATGCCCTACTTTAACTGGATAAACACCTCAACTTACTTCACAGACAGTTTTTCAAAGGTGCTAGAGGGTGCTGGGCATTCCCGGGCAAAACTGGACCTAGTGGAACAAAAACACTGGTCGCCTTTTGGGAAAAATGAGTTGGAGTTTTGAATTCAGCTACTTGTCAATTTTTTTCTGTCAAGAGGTCAAAGTCAAGAAAAAAGAATATTTTAAACGTGACTATAGTCGTTAAAAATAGCTCTTTGCATCGAGTTCAATGGAAGAACACAACTTCAAACCCTTTTTCTCGATTCAAACTTGGGGCGTTTCCGCTATACACGGTCCGTATAACTTGACCTCGGTAATAATGCCTTGTTGATGCAACTATTCGTGCTCAGTGGCTATGCGTGTGGCATACAGATGATCTGAAGGCGCTCTCTAATTTGTAACTCCCGAGTTAGTTGAATCTACTAGACCTCGTTTTCATCAGCCGTGCTGTTTAGCTTGATAATAGATCCTAAAGCGTGGTTTATTTTATTTTGCATTTACACCTAGATTATGTTTCAGTTTATGTTGAAAAGTTTTTAGAGAATCCTCCATATAAAGACCATGAAATACAACTCTCTATTGGTGACAATATTAATTAAAGAGCTAAAACGATTTTTAAAATTTATTATACGGTCGATTTCAATTCGCCTACAGCTGCGGCCGCAGCAATTGTTGTTGCGAATATGTTGTGCGTGCTGATCTCAGATCATTACATACTTGACTCTCTGAAGGCGTTTAATGTTCGAAAGTAGAGCGCTCTGTTGGAGAACAACAGAAGTGGGATCGAATCCTTACTTCGTTCGTTCTCCAACAGATTGCGCTACTTGTGCACATAAAACGCCTTCAGAGAATCAAGTATGTAATGGGCTGATATCAGCACGCACAGCATATCCGTAACGGCTATTGCTGCGGACGAAGCTGAAGGCAAATTGTTTAGTTAAAAAAAAGGAGTATAATAGCGTCTAACGAGAGGATATGTATTCGATCGACATAAATCGAGTGGAAAATAAAAACGTGATCCGATCAACACCGATTCAATGGACAAATAAATAAAAAAGCGGATCAAAATCATTAGAAAACTTGCAATTATTATGAAAATTCCGAATTGAGATAGGTACCTCAAAATTAGGATCAGCCAAGATTTTTATTTTTCGCGATTTTGAGTCTACAGGTACCCAGACTCACAAATCCCCCCCCCCCTCAAAAAAAAATCGTTTTGGGTACATTTTTGTAGCATTTTTTTCTCTTCAAGATCGCTGTGCCTTGGACCTTCGGAAGTTAAAATTCTCGAAGCCCACTGTGAACAATCTCTCGTTTAATGATTTTGGATATTTCTAGCGTGTTTACCAATTTTAATGAAGAAATATGACCGGTAGTGCTGAACTTACATCAGAAACACTTACCGTTAGGAAGACAGTTAATCGCTGCCAGTACCAGTTACTTCAAACACTGTAAGAAAGTAGAACTAACTACGGTTTTTCCTTGTATAATGAATTTGGATTTTCTTGCTCTCCCCTTTTATATTTGTTTCCGACCTTAATTTTACTTTGATCAAAAAATACTTGCGATATCATACACTATTCTAATTTTTTTAGCAACGCTCGACGTAAGTGAAATGAATGACGAAATTTAGTTAGATTGGTTGGTTTGACTATCTTCCTCCTACACAGTATCAAAGTTTATCTTCTATTCTTTCTATTAATTTCATCATATTGTTGCCATCAAACGCTCCTTGCTCACGACCACACTTCTAACGATCGGGCATTTCTTCTGAACCGAATTTAAAGTTTATGTCAACAGAGAAATAGCTTACCTACGTGCAATATATTTTATGGAAGTCTCTAATTGTCTTTAAACATCAAATAATCAGAATACTCTCGATTTTTGACATTCTGCTTGGCATCGTGGCACAAGGTGCAACCTCAAAGTTAAACTTGAAAACATTCAATTTGCTCCGAAGAAATAGCTCTCAAGTTTTTCCTCGTGATAAGAACCCCATAGAAACATTCTGTCGATGTGCAAAATGATTGAACTTTGCAGCTAAGCTAACTGATTATTATCGTCACTTGGCGTCTTGATTTTTTATGTAGTCAGGGATAAGGGGGTGAGAAATAGAGGAGTTAAATTTGACCTAACAACGTATAATTCACTCTGCTGTTTATAGACGCTTACCCCGTATCGTTTGCTACATGGAAGGCATTTATGTCCATGAATTTTGGTAGGATAGGAAAGGTATGTACTCTACTATGCTAAACAAAAACCATTTGTAAATTAATCAATTAACTATGCCAAAATTAGTAATATGTGATTATGACATTATGATAGACTGTGTAGTTAAGTGAGCCTTGGGATCTTACTTTGTTTAAATTCAGTTACAATCTTATAGCGCCTTTAAACTAGTAAACGGGCAACAAGTAGAGGAGATCAAAAAGCGCAATTCATCAATATGATCAAATTTTAGTTTTTATTGAATAAATTGAAGTAAATTGAATTATTGAGAATTCAATTCGTTTTAATTGGAAAAAATCGTCCCAGAACACCAAAAACCTTGTTCCCAAGACCGTGAGAGGAGCGCTCTCCGGTGAAAACTCAGTTTGAACTTTAGTTTTTTTAACGATGTTTCCTCAAAGAGTTACCTCTTTTAATATCATATCTCGCGCTCTTAAGAGCTACATTTGATCCTGAGATGACTTAACTGGCTTAAACTGAAATTGATGGACGAATTTTAGGCGATCTAATTTCGCGAAACAAGTTTTGGAGTGGACGAAGACAGCTCGATAACTCAAAAATTCAAAACTTGTTTCGATGAAGGAACTCACGTGGATCAAACAACCTCTGACGCCACTTGATTCCAGTCTATTCTAACCCGAGCAACCTTTTATTGAAATAAATTCAACATAGGATTTCGAATGGCACATTAGCATAGGCAGGTCTGGTCTAACAACTACTGGTTCGATGTCTCACAATCAGTCGATTGGAGGACTATAGCGTGATGTCATGTCAATGACTAATTTATGAAAACACGTGACTTAATTACAGAGTTTAAAAACCTCTGTTCACATTTTATTTTAAAAGAGAACTAACGCGTATTATAGCCTAAAATTTTCACAGGACCATCGTGAAAAAATGAAAAAAAAACCAAAATAATAACAGGTTTTCCATTAAAAAATAAATTATGAGACATTAGAGACGTATTATTTTGAGATACTATTTTCAGAGTTCGATCATCAATGTATGTATCAAAAAAGGTTATATTCTCTAAGAAAAATAGTCTTCAACTCAAACAGTAAAGATTTCCAGCCATCTTAGCAAAAAATTGAGGGCAGAAAAATCTCTGAATGTTTTTTTGAACATCAACCAAAAACAAGCTTTCTCTCAGCGACTGCAAAAAAATCAACCGCAAGTTTACTTTAGAAATGTTACACAATGCATAGCACATGATGAGGAAATTAGGAAGCCCGTTATCTACCTTGATTTGCAACATTCTTATCATATTTAATTTCGCTACGGGAGAATTACTAATGTTGTGTCTTAAAATTGTCTGCGGTATTTGTTTTTTTAGTGGATAAGAAAAAGAAGAAAAAAAACCATCTCGGCCGAAAAATATTGTCTGGAACTCGTAAGAAGTTTTAATACTACATTCACTCGCTTGCTTTTCTAGTTTCACAGCAGGTACTTACCTACATTAGTGATCTCCGACATCATTAAAGTAAGTCGAATAGAAGCGGTGGCAAGACAGTATTATACACTGCATGAATGTTGGCGAGATTTTCGATTGATAGCTGTTTCTCCTCAGGTCATTCCTTCATGCAAAGTTAAGAAATACTCTGTATCGAAGGGACACATTTTTATCAAGAATGAGCTAAAGCTCAGGTTCTCTTCAGAGAGACGCCCAAATGTGACACTCGTTTTTTGCAAAAAAAGTGATAAAAAATTGGTATGATTAAAACTGCTCGATCGGCACAATTAGCGATACTTGAATTAATTTAAAGAATGAGAGATATAATCTAAACACCTTCATTTAATATCGCATGCGACGAAAAATTGACGAATTTCATTATAACTCATGGATGCAACTATTCGAGCTCCATGGATGTTCGTGTTGCATACGCAAGGGATGAAGGCATTTTGACTTTCCAGACACTCATCGCTTCACTCGACGCGGTGGAAGGCTGCACTACGAGGATGAAAATGACAGAGCGCCTTCAATTCTTCGTTTATACTGCCAGGCTATCTCTTAGACAAGTATAGTTCACAGATCAACGGTGCGGAGGAACTAAAAAACCACGTATCTCGGTTAACGACGTTGCAGATTGTCTGTCATACTTAATCTCTTGAAAGGTTAATTACTCAATGTAGATTTCTTTAAACTTTTATGATTTTCCTCCGCTGTAGGAAGATAATTCTAGGAAACCTTCACGGAGGGAAAAACCTCGTGCGTGGGACCCGAAGTTTAGGTCATATGGATCTCTAAAGTTTTCGAATTGAGCATCTGAACACTTCAGGTCTAGCTGTCGAGGTTCAGGTCTGACATCTGAAACTTCAGTCCTTACATCTGAAGTACTTCAAATGTGAGAACCGAAGTTTTTCGGATGTGAAAATCGAAGTACTTCAGATGTAAGAACTGAAGTTTCAGATGTGTGATCCAAACCTCAGTAGCTGGACCTTAAGTGTACAGATGCTCAATCTGAAAACTTCAGAGATCCATTGATCCATATGACCTAAACTTCGGGTCCCACGCACGAGGTTTTTCTCTTCGTATTGGAGGATCTTCGTTGGTTTGCTCTCTTTCAAAAAAACAAAATGGGAGCGGAGATTTTAAAACAAAACCACAAACGAGACATGAGTCTTGGGAGTTTCGATAAGCATGGGTTGCGAGCCCCTCCGTTTTCCGAGCTTCAGTTTTAATATCGCCATGTGCTGAACATGATTTGAGCGACCAATCGTGCCTAATTGCCTTTGTAGTGTAAATTAAGGGTTGAAGGCACTCCATCCTTTCTAATAATCCGCACAGTACCGTTCGCTGGCCGTTGCGCTGCAGCGCCGGCGTCCGGCGTGCCACCAGCACGAAACGCGCACTGGCGCCTACAAACCTAACAGGGATACTTCACGCATTACGCAACGCGTGAAGTATCCTGTTAGGTTTGTAGGCGCCTATGCGCGTGTCACGCTGGTCGCCCTCGCCCGCCGCGCGGTGTTGCGGGTTGAGCCTTGAGCGGTGACTGTCCGAGGAGTCAAAACGCTTTCACTGGCGTGCGTATGCAACACGGACATCCGTGGAGCTCGAATAGTTGCATTTAGGAGCTAGAATGATATTGTCATCGTATTCGTTGCATGTGATACTAACTGAGGGCGCTTTCACTTGTTTCTCATACATCTTAATTCCAGCGTTGCTTATTGAATGAATGCCGATGAAGTAAACTATTAATGACTGTTATATTGTCAATATTTATTTGATGGTAGAGTTTAAAAATTCCAGTAAGATATGTACATCACCCCTGGAATAGTTCAGAACAAAGGCATTAAATTTTTTCCTTTGTACCTACTTTTAACGCACAGATTGGAAGAAATCAAAAAGTAGCATGTTATTAAAAGACTTTCAACAAGTATCGGAAGGTGTGTGCAGGTGATTATTTCAAAGTAAAGTAACATAATTGGAAAGGTGACTTTTAAAAATCAAAGTTTAAAGAAGTAAATAAAAAAAATTAGGGGTGTAAAGTGGAACAATTTTTCGTCTAGGAAAATCTCTCAACCAGAATTTTCATCGGTGTTAGGACAGGGTTTAAGAGTCTTCTCAAGGGTTTCATCAGGAATCTTTTCTGTGGTATACTCTTCAGTATATTCTGGAGAAGTTGAATATCAAAACCAAACATTTCACCCAGCGGTCAATAACGTCCAGTGTTATGGGCAAACTATTTCGTCGCATTGTTACCATACATTGTGGTGTGCGGAAATCATCGCCAAAATTAAGGGCAAATGATGATGAATACTGATCGCAAACATTAGGAATTCTTAAAGTTGTAGCAAAAATTACATCATTTTTAAAGGGAGGGGGTGGCGAGACGAGTCATATTAATAGTTGTAATGTTTTTAGGAATAGAATGTATAAAACCTCAGGCAAACTTGCATTTTTCTCGCTGTGAAGCGTGCAAGAAGCAAAAAACTCATTCCTTGCCCGCGAAGAGGAGTGAGAGACCACTCACTGCCAGCATTATTAAGCTTGGATGCACAGCCAGAGGTAGCATTTGATCAACAAAAACAGCATTTTTTGCTGCACTTTTCATCTTTTCTGCATCCCATTGACTGCACGCCCTGGTATTTACCTTCCGTTTACCTAATCGAACATAATTTGCATTGGCTTAAAAATGTCCGCGCGTCCTCTGAAAATTCGATTTTTTGGATTATATCATGTTTATTATTCAGAACATTTTTCCAGGTAATCAAATCGACTTATCCATCGGTGCCCGCAAAGTTTGCCTCCATCATTGGCGATTCTTCAAAGTTGGCAACACTGGTAGTCCTCCATTTAACTCCATTAAAAACATCGATTTCAGGTGAAGTAAGGTGCCTCACTAAGAATCGATTGTTTTACATAAACTTAAATGGAGGTAAAATAGTGCCGCCAACTTTCAAGAATCGCGGCCTCCATGAACTAAGGTCTCTTACCCTGCGGACCGCCACATGTATTTCTCAAAAGTCGATTTTGAAAATTTCCATCATTCCCAACTTGTTTCAATGAAAAACGCGTCGTAATTCTCACCCTGTCCGATACGGAGCCCGCCTTTTTGATAATTATTTCAAAAAAGATTAAAATCACTTGAAAGAACTTTTTTAAAGCTCATTGACTTTCATCAGCACGACGCCATTTACCATTTTTTTCATTGTCTATCACTGAAAAGCGATCTTATTTTGCATGAATGGTAAATCGAACGGTAATCTTGTCCACCGATTACGGCATCCTTTCATAAGGTATGACTTAACCAGCTCATTTTTTTGTCAGATCTGGTGCATCAGTAATCATCAAAGGCTCAAAATATTACGAAATAGCTCTTACTTTCATCACATATTCGCAATCCTCACGCGGAAAACACGATTACCATAATCTGCCGCCCCTCTGCGTAAGGGCGTATCTAAATTTTCACGTGAGCCTTGTTTTACATATAAATCCACGCTCTCTAGAGCTCATATGGAAATCGAGATACGCCCTCACGTCAGAGGAGCGACGAATCGTGGGAGGATGAAACCGATTTTGACTATTGTGTAACCCCGCGATGAATTAATCGACAAAAACCGATCGAAATGCAGATCGCGGAGGATCGCGGATGACGTCACACGCGGCGCGGACTCAGCGTCGTGAACTTGAACTTGAACCTGAGGATTTGAGGTGTAAAGAGGATGGAGCGAGAGAGACGCGGCCGGCGCACAGTGGATCGAGTCAATAGAACAGGTCGGCCAAATTTGGAAACTTTAAACGCTTATAACTCCATTTTTACAAAACTTTGAGGTTTTAAAAGTCGTTTCATTGGTTTTTTCGTGAAATTTTCCATCAGAACCACCCCTTACAATATAAAATATGACGATTTAAACATTAAAATGTGCAGTTTTTGTTAGGAATTTTCTGTCCGACCTCTCCTGTAGACTCGATCCACTGTGCGGCGCCTGGCGGCTGATCGCGAGCGAGCGAGAGGGAAAATCAGGTGCAACGCCGATGGAAGGTCACTAACGCGGTTCGTTTGTGGAACGCGTTTTTTTCCGCGAGTTCAGTCGCGATCGCTTCGTTTGACCATTCGCACTCGCCGCCAAATCAGTCTCAGTCAGTCCGTCTGATCGGCCGAGAGACCATGCCCGCGCAGCTGCCTCGCTGATTTTGAATTTTTTCCCGCGATTATCGCTCGACTTGTCGGCGAATCGTTCGTTAGTGCGTTTTTACCCGTTCGACCGTCGAATTTGTGCCGTGCTTTCCCTCTGGTTATTTGCAGGTGAGTGATAGCGATGTTTTTGTCCTATGATCGCCGTGTTCGCGTTGTGGGTGCTGTTCGTCGGCTGTTGAACTCGATGTGTGGTTTTTTTCATCGCTGGTGTTGCACCGGTAGAAAGCTCGGAGTGAAATAATTCGGGGTGCACTGAAAAAAAAATCTCGGTGTATTTACTAAGAAAAGGGTAAAGTTACTAAGAATTCAGGGTTCTGTTTGATCCCAGTTTTTTCTTGGTAAAATTACCATTTATGGAATTGGTAATTTGACCAAGAAATCTCGGTAAAATTATTGAACTTTCTCGGTAATTTTACTGGACCTTGGTGAAAAAGCCAACATTTTTTATCGACTGTGGTAGAATTACCGAGATAAAATGGGCAAAGTTACCGGGAATTGATTACCAATAAAAGTGGTATTCTTACCCGGAAAAAACAGTAAAAATACCAGTTCTTAGGTAAGCTTACCAGTCTGTCTTGGTAAAATTACCAAAAATTGGTAAAAAAAGTGAGATGGTAAAGGTACCAATGGACCTTGGTAAAAACGCCGAGAATTTTTTTCAGTGTGGATATCACTCCGCAGATCAGCTTGCCCCCGAAAGTTCGGAGTGATACGAGTGCGAGGAGGAATTGAGGGGCTTGGAGGACAAGGCGCATAAGTGCAGTTTTTAAAAAAATGGAGATATTCATAGTGTCAAATAAAAATAGTCTTAATGCATATTCTGTGAAAAATTTGTTCACATGTTCCAATTTTTAAGCATAAAAAAGTCAGTTTGAACTTTCTTCGTGCCGTAAGGATTCATGTAATGTCGAAACTCCAAACACGAATTTCTCAATTTATCAAAAACTGCATTTATGCGCCTTGTCTTCCAAGCCCCTCAGTCTACTTTTTTTTCGGAGTTAACTCCGTTCTCGCGAGTACATTTCATTCCATAGCCTATATAAAAAAAAAAACAATTCAGAAGGATGTGAGTGTCTAGAGGGGAATTTACTCTACTTGCAAAGTGATATCCTCTTTCCCAGAGAGGAATCAAGGTTTTTTATCTTTAACTCCTTCCTTACGAAGCTGATTTCACGCTCTATTCATATCACTTGGATTTGTTGAGGTCCAAGTAAGCCCCGGAGTGAAATATACGCTGGATTTTACTCCAAGATTTCATTGTGGAATCGCTCAAAAACACCAAACAATATAGTACAAAGGCGCGTGTATATATATTTGTAAATAAATTATTCGAGTATTTTTAAAATTTTAAGTCCCAAACGATTCATTGTTCATTTTGATGTAACTAAGTAACTTTAATTCTCTTTAGAACTTTATTTTCTATTAGAACTTTAAAACGACATGACACGAAATTTTCAGAGATTACCCAACGTGAAAAAATTCTTATTTCATTTTTGAAAAGATATACCCATTTAATTTTTCAAGGAAGCAATGAACTCCCCCTTGTTTTTGCATCGCAATTTCGTGTGCCTTTTTTGAGCCATTAATTGCCTCTATGTTTTGGGCAACTACTTTTAGAAATGCTTTACTTCCAACTGGTATTTACTTAAATAAAAATTGTCCTGGTGGAAATTCACGCATATAGTGCTCTCCAATAGAATATAAAGGGATGAAAACACAGATTAAAAAATTATGTAAAACACCGAGGAATTTGCACAGCAAAATTAAGCGTGAAATGTAAAATACGTGCGATTTTTCCCAAAACTGGTCCAAATCATTACGGTGTTAGTAATTACGAGACAAGTAAATCATATTTTGAATTCATTTTAGTCTAAATGTTGCTTAATTTATTCTAATTCCACATGTCTTCATTTGTGCGAATCCTCACTTATTGCGAGGTGTAAACATCTACCGTACAACCGGCAGCTTCTTGGGGTCAATGACCGCGCGGTGCCCCGGGTGCATGCCTACCCAGTTAAACATCATGTGTGTGTGTGTGTGTATCCAGCACAACACGGAATGCTGCATCTTTCATTTGCTCGATTCTTTTACGATTTAAAAGCTTGTCATAGGTAAAGAAATGCCTTTAAGGCTTCCCGTAATGAAGATCTCATTCAAATTTCGCATTAAAGCACGTAATTGACCTATTTCGGGCAAAATGTCTGAATGTATCTCGTCCCCGGGAAGACCCCGTCTCGGTTCACACGAAGTCAAAATTGAGTTATTTCGTCGTTTCTCTAAGAAAAAAGTAATTTCAATGTTGCCAGATTTTTCACTACAAATTCTATTTTTACCAGGAAAATCTAAAGCATTTCTAATTGAAAATTTCACTGATTTTTCTTTCGATCTCATGCAAAAATCAGAAAATGTATGGTTAAAAATTGAACAGGCATATTCGTGTAAAAAATTGAATTGTTAGGTCAATTTTGCAACCTTGAAGTGGAAGTATGGACCCTGCTCGTCCGGGTGACAAAGATTTGTGCCTTTGAGAAGTTCCCTAAGATTATGTTAGCACAAAATACCAGGTAATGACAATCCAAAATGGATTTATGATGTTTTAAAATTTGCAATAAAGAATGCTTAGTTTTGAGAAAAAGTAATGAAAATTTACATTCTCGTTTTTGGGGCTGGAATATGTCGTTGATCGCAATTACGTTGATATTTCGGATCGATTGAAATAAAATATGATTATATATCCCAAGGGAAACACGAACTCTGAAATCTTATAGATCGATGGTCAAAGTGCGAGACCACGTATCTCCGTTCACAGCGTTTCAAACTTCCTGTCATACTATTTTTTCACCAGAAAATTGTAAGTCAAAAGGAAATTTCTTGAAAACTTCCTTGATTTTTCTTCTTTATCAAAAGAATACTCTATGTAAATTTCAAGCAGTAAAGTCGGCTTGTTCCTCTTCGAAGAAAAATAGATGGGAGCGGAAATTTTGAAACACCGCAATATTGATGTGTGGTTTCGCACTTTGGCCATCGATATGATTTTTGTATACGTGCATAAGTGAAATGACAGAAAAGTTAGGGATGTATCTGAGCTTACGTCATTAGATTAAGACATATTTTAAACTTGATTTATTCCAAACCATCACGCCCTGTTACTTTATATTTATTTTTGCCTGCTAAATCATGCACGGTTTTTCCCCGGTGTTAAAAAAATATACTTTTAATGGCGAACAATTTCAAGGAAAAATGCTTGCGAAATAATGTAGTTGAGACTTCAACCCTGATCCATAGAAAACTTACAGGGAAATTTAAAAATTTACATTAAACAACATTTACATAAATAAGATGAGAAGGAACGGAAATAAATGGGATTACATTTATTATATAAACTTGAGTACCTAAAGGTGACTAGAGCATTATTTATGTGAAATACTCATATCGAAAAAAGACAGACGCATAACTAAATAATATTTTCGACGTGGGTTGCTCTTTTTTTGGGTGAAGTGTTCATAACCATATAAGACTAAAAATAAATAGCATACATATTTAAGAGCGCACCATTTATTTGTAGCTATTTTTGATCCAGTGAGAACTTGAAATGAATAATCTTTCACTGTCGTAGGGCGTCAGAGATACTGATGCATATCTGCGGACAGAGAGGTAATAGCCATTTTATTTCGTCGTAAACAAGGACTTTTTAGACTTTTTAGGCGTCAGAGATAATGATGCATTTATGCAGACAGAGAGGTATTAGCCATTTTATTCCGCCATAAACAAGGACTTTTTGAATAATTTTATGCAAAAGCAATCTCGAAAATGTAATAGGTATTAAGTCCTCATCCATTCCAGCCGCAAAAATCAATTAAGGTCAGAACATACCCAAACATTATTTCGAGAAGTTGCGGTGAGTCTGGTTTTATTTAAAATCTAATATCCTAAGAAGTTAACCGTTGTACTGCTGTAAGGTTCCTCTTAAATGTACAAATTTTGATTTAACTTGCCCAACTAGATTCTATTAATAGACTGGCATTGACATGCCTCAAAACCATTGAGCTCTAGAATAAATATTATTTGCATCATTCTCGTTTGAAGCAATAACGCCAATTTTGATACAATTTCTTCAGACCTTCGTTTATCCAGTACCGAGCTGCAAGAATATAATACATCCATTGTCGTAAATACCTTAGATTTAACATAAAAAACATGAGTTGAATCAAGGCAAACTCGGATTACTTATTCTAGTCATCTATCAGAAAACTCTTGAAAATTATTACTTCACTACGATTATTAGTTCGGAATATTATAACGTTCGTCAATAATTTTTCTCAATGTCTCAATGAGGATACGATTCAATAATCGTGTATTAGAGAAACACACGAGAACAGGCGATGGCTCGCAAAATATCGTCAGGAAGACGAGAATAAAATAAGAGGTAAAAGTCTGCCTATCGATCAGCAAAGGTTCTTCGAACTCATAGTCAGGGAGGTAGATTTTGAGGTAATCCTCTTTTTTCTTCAGGTCTTCGCACTCACTCCCTTGGTCTCGGAGATGAGCACTGCGCTGTCAATCAAAAAGCAATTTGCGGCAATTTTCTTAATTCTTATTTCGCACTCTGCCACCGAACTCGTAATCACGAGATCTTGACCTTGGAGGCGCAAATAAAGCAGGTTGGGGAAGAGTACCTGAAAAAATTATCCCGAGTCCATCTTAAAAAAATCCTTGGTCGAACTCTCGACTATTTGTTGCGGGTTGCATATTCAGCCCTAAAAATTTGTTCGCCTCTCTCCAATCACCTTGCATCCCTCATTGACATTGAATAATATATTTCACGCCCCAAAAATGAAGCAATGACCAGTGACCTAGAAAAGATGCGCTCTTGATGAACAACGAACTTCAACAATGGATACCCTTTGAGTATGTTGAAAGTTTGAACATCGCTTTCGAACCCAGTCGGGACAATGGTTTTTATCCGGTGACTCAAGCGGTGCATTATGGTCTGGGGGCGCCGAATTGTGGCCATAAATCAGGAAATGATCAGAATATCATGAAATTTGGTGTACTTGTGTTTTTTGGGTCGCTGAATTCAAATTTGACCTTAGTTTTACAAAATTCTT